GAAAGTTGGTGGAAGAAGGGGAGTTAGGTTGCTATACTTGCAAGTAGTTAATGGGATGAGGATAAGCAAGGAGTCAACGTTTTCGTTCGGAGAAACTTTCTTTTTGTGAGAGAACAAAAGGAAAAGAAGAAAAGGAAAAGAAAAACACAACGGGACAAGAAAAAAAAGCGATAGAAAATGGTGTATTACGTTTTAACTATTGAACCGGTTGGTGTTTATGATTCTGTGACTTGGTAAACTATACCGTTTATATCAAAATTAACTATTGATACAGTAAATATTAGAAAATTTTATGAGCATGGAAAGGGAAAAAGAAAGATTTATCGATGAGATGATTGATTTTCTGAGTGGGACCTCCAATTCATAGAGACACACAGAGCATAGATAATGACAAAAGAAAAGGGAGACACGGATGCCTAGGATACCTTAGGCCCCAGAACGGAATGAGAAAGGCATAGATAAAAACTTATGTTCTGGTTTTTAAATGTTAGTATATTTTTGTTATTATATTGTTATCGTGCTATATTATTTATTTATCAAGACATATTTCATTTGATCTTCAGAACTTATTTATATATTTTAAACTCAATGCACCAAAGATAAAACTCTTCTTTTCTTTCATCATAACACTTTCTTTTTTAATTACATTCCTTTTTTCATTTCTGCATTAAGCTAACTTTTGGATACAAACTAATTTTACTTTTACATTTTTTTGTAACATCGCTCTCATTCTCGTACGAAGAAAGTGTTTTAATTTGGTGTTTTAATTTATAAAAATATATATAGATTTGATGGTGTCCATTGCAAAGAAAAAGAAAAATAATACCAATAAAGTATAATAAAATGAATGTATGTAGTAACTTTTTGGTTAGGTGCAGTTTTTCTTCTTTTTCATTTCTTTCTCTCATAACCGTCCCCTGTTTATTGTGAGTTTTGTGTAGTGCACTAAATGAAACATTTTTTATATATTTATACTACATAAGCTGTAAAAAACATAAAGTATTATTTAAATAACAGTCACACTTAACTAAATAATGGGTATTATTTGGATTGAAGTCATTCTTGACTTAGAAACAAGTATTATTTGAAATACGCATTCTTAACTGAAACGGGTTATTATTTGAAATGTAATTACTTTTTACAAAGATAAAATATTCTTTGAAACATGGTCACTATTAATTATGAACGAGTATTATTTAAAACACAATTATTTTTTGATTAAAACTAAGTATTATTTAAAATGCAATATTCCTTAACTAAAATCGAATATTATTTGAAATGTCAATCTTAGATAAATTTAAACATTATTTAAAACTCAATAACTAAAATTAAGTCTTATTTGAAAATGAATCACTTATGACTAAAAGTAAATATTATTTAAAATACAATAACTTCTAATTAAACACAGTTTATAAAAAATGTGATATAAAAGATCATAGGTTCACTCACGTGGGATAGATGTACACAAAAGTTATCATTATTCTTGATTGTTAATGAGCATGGACAATATTCTTTCTTACAACTACAATGTTTAGAAGCTTATGATATCTCTTGTGCAAATTCTTGTAGCAAGACATTCGTGGTTATCAACCTTTCTTTTCAAAGAGATATTATATATATAAAGCTTGAGAAGAAAATATTCACTGCACATAATTTTTGTAGCAGATGTGAAGGTCATAAAAAAAGTCTTCTTCTCACGTATGCACACATTCAATATTGGAGAAACATTAAATGCAAGATCTGTATCTTTAAATATGATTCTTCTCTTGGAGCAACATCCCAAAATATGACAAGGCTAAACAAATCTTGGTCAAATATAGTTTTTTCTAAGCTAAACAAAAACGTATAATCGTATAAGACAGTTAGTTTTTCTAAAGTTGACTTCAAGTTATGTAAGATTACCTTAGTACATTTTACAAGAAATTTTTAATATAGACGTGTGGTATCAACAAAAAATATTAGTGAGTGTCAAAATATTTTTTTTAAGCATATAAACATTTTAAAGTACCAAATATTCATAATATATTAAAATTAAAGAAATTACTTTAATTTATACATATATTAAAAAAATTGGGGCAGCCAGACCCCTTTGGTTCTAAGAAAGATGATTCCCTGTTACTCTCAAGATCTTCTTGTCAAAATAAGAGAAAGACTTTCTCCACAAACACAAAATAAGTATGGAGAATATTTCATAAAGAAAGTTAACTTAATAATGGTGTTCATGTCTTTTAATTAACGCTTTTGTTTATATGATAAAGCAAATAAATCAGATACACTTCCATGATTTCTTATGTATATATATTAATTGAGGTGATAAATGCTGGATGAAGAAGACAGTTAATAGTTTGATGTGGTTTGACATGTATGCAAGGGCAGAAAAAAAATATGTTTTAAGCAAGCCAAATTGTCTTCTTACCCATTTTNAATAAAGACGCGACGACTCTGAGGATGATAACATTTGTACCCTTTTTTATTAGAAGGATACCCAATAAAGACACATTTAAGAGCTCTGGGATCTAATTTACCACGGTTAGAATGATGAGAGTGAACAAAAACAACACATCCAAAGACTCGACTATGAAGACTCGTTAGTAGGGAAGAAGAAGGAACAAAAGACAATAGAGACTCTATAGGACTAATGTCATTTAAGATACGAGTGGGTAACCTGTTGATGAGATATGTGGCAATTAACACAGCTTCTCCCTAGTAATTTTTTGGAACAGACATTTGAAAAAGAAGAGCTCTAATTACTTCAAGAAGATGACGATTCTTTCTTTCTGCAACCCCATTTTGTTGAGGGATGTTAACACATGTTAGTTCATGAACAATATCATTATGAGACAAAAAATTGAGAAATTCATGATTCATATATTCAGTACCATTATTAGACCTAATTCTTTTGATATTTTTTCCAAATTGATTTTGGACAAGATGGAAAAAATTAACAAAAATTTGAAACTGGCTTGTAGGGTGAGATTTGCACCCACTTATAAACTATGAATTGGCCTTATCTCTAGTTGATGTGGGACTTCTAACACACCCCCTCACACCGAGGTATATACATCTCGAGCGTGGGATTATACATTTTTAATGGGTGGTCCGACAGCAGCCCGATAGCGGGTGAAACAATATGTCCAACAAACAACAAATTGTCGCTAGGATAGGCTCTAACTATGACTCTGATACCAAGTTGAAAATATGACTGATTTTATTATTCTCAATCATAAAAAATACATTCTCATATCCTCTATTTGTAATAATCTAATTCTCCTAAAAAGGAAAATAGGGAAACTAGGAAAACAAAATAAAATAAAAGATTGTATATCAATTTCCTCTAATTAGGAATATTCTAAAGATATTTTCTTTAATTACAACAATTTCCCTAACAATAATTGACCTATGAAAAAAGGAATATTTTAGGATACATTTATATAACAAAGAAAGTTCAAAACATTGAGGTTTTTACCAATCTACTACTTGTCTGAGATGGTTTATGAGAGACTTGTGCAAGGAGAAAAATCACACAACAATGTTGTCCTTGAGAGAAACCACAAGTAGTTGCGAATGACGCCTGAATTGAAGATAACTTCATTGTTATACCTTAAAATAATAAATTATGATTACAAGTTAACAAACTACACTTACCAACAATATACAGAACAAAATACACTTCTAATAAAAAAGTCTCGTGCTTTTAGAACTCTTGCATGATTTTTGCCACTTCTCTTTCATATGCATATGGATGGATTTCTCTCAAATGTCCAACACTAAAGAGGAAAAAATGTTTCCAATGTAAAACAAACATTAATACAAACTATGGTTAGAAATAACAATAAAATTTCAACATATGTATGATAAAGGAAGAAGAAGAGAGACAAAGAAGAAAAAAAAAATTAACTAGTATTGACTCAATCACCTAAGATTTGACACTAAATCTTAAATGCAGTCGAGATAAAGAAAAATAAATTATACACCAATTTAACATAACCTAATAAAAAATAAATTATAAATTCATACTTTTAATGAGTAACGGATATTTGTAAATATGAATAATATGATATTTGATAATAAACTGGTATTAATTTACCTAATATCTATTTAAAATATCATTGAAACGAATGTTATCCACAAATATCAGGTATTCAAAGATTTTTTACATTAGTATTTACATGCCTATTGTATAAAGATTGTGAGAAAATCATAAGAATGTGTTAACCAGTTTGACTCATTTATTTAGTGAATCCGTTTTGAAAAACCTGTACTATTTCAAATGTGACACCGTTGGCTAACATTTAAAATGTAAAGTTTAAACCAAACCATATCATGTTATCCTTGGTCCCGTATATCACCACACGACCCTTAGGTAGGGTTGGATAAGCTGATCAATCTTTGGGTGGGTCCAAAAAGTAAACACACCAAAGAAAAGAGGTCGAAAATGAAAATACATATAGATCGCCACATACAACAAATCTCACCCCACCACCGTTCATGGCTCAACATAAATGGGTGATCAACATATTTTTTTAGTTTCTATATACTTTTAAATGCAGTTTCTTTCTTTATTTATTTATATTAAATATTGCACTAGTCAAAATTCTTTATACTTCAATGTAAGAACATTTAATGTCTTTCTTTTTCTTTCTTTAATATATTTTTAAATATATTTTAAACCCAAAAACACTTAACAATGAAAACTCCCGACTTCTTGCTCATCCAATTCAATTAAAATTTTTATGGTTCAAATATTATAAGTATTTTCTATTTTCTATTAAAAATAAACAGAAAATGAGTTTCAAAATTTATTATTGAAAAAACTTATTTTAGTATACAAGTAGTTCTTTTTAAAATTAATTAATTAATTATTCTCGGAGCAAACCAGAATCCACATAAGGTACATACATCATCACATGAACAACCTTCAAATCGAGAAACTATTACATAGTTTGTGATTGTATGTGATTCAAACAATGTATGATAAGTTACTAATTTTTTTCACACAATTGAAAATTAAATTACTTAGAATCACATAATTTGTAACCATGTAATAATAATCTGTTTGAATGAAGAAAAATAAAATTGTTGGCTGGGTCAGAAAATATCAAGAATTTCCAAAATTAAATTATTGCAGAGAGGGCAATTCCCTCTGCTGGCCCAAATCTCTCTGCAACACATTCTGCAGAAGGTGTGTCCGCACGGGATAAACGCCGCGCCTTTATGGCGCACCATGCAGACGCAGCAGTTATACTCCACCAAACCCTCTTTTTCTTCATCTTCCGCTTCATCTTCGTCCCTCTTCTCAAAATCTGCCACCACATCATCATCGCTCACTCTGTACAAATCCATTTCCTGCTCAGCTTCCTCCAACAAATCCATCAGCGACACGCCAACCGCCACCTCCTGGTTGTTCTCCCCGTCGGAGGAATCGCCGCCGGCTGCCGTGTTGTCCGTCGGAGATCCGAACCGCGCGATCGGATCTGAATCGTTTGCGTCCTCCACAACGACGTCGTTCTGCTGAGTCGCCGCGTCGTCGGAGAGGAGGCGAGTTTGAGGTAAACTTCCGTCTTCATTGTCGTTATTATTGCTGTTATTACTGTGAGTAGGGGCGGAGGACCAAGCCAAACCGATAGCGCGCTTGAGCCGAAGCTTCTCCTTGAAGGCTTTCCAGGAGTTGCGATCCTTCGCGTCTTCGTTAGGCTTCTCTTCGCGAATGATGTCTTGGAGAGTCNCCTCCTGGTTGTTCTCCCCGTCGGAGGAATCGCCGCCGGCTGCCGTGTTGTCCGTCGGAGATCCGAACCGCGCGATCGGATCTGAATCGTTTGCGTCCTCCACAACGACGTCGTTCTGCTGAGTCGCCGCGTCGTCGGAGAGGAGGCGAGTTTGAGGTAAACTTCCGTCTTCATTGTCGTTATTATTGCTGTTATTACTGTGAGTAGGGGCGGAGGACCAAGCCAAACCGATAGCGCGCTTGAGCCGAAGCTTCTCCTTGAAGGCTTTCCAGGAGTTGCGATCCTTCGCGTCTTCGTTAGGCTTCTCTTCGCGAATGATGTCTTGGAGAGTCCGGCTTCGGCTCAGGTCACGGCTCGCTTCGGCGTCGGCTTCGGCTTCGGCCTTCTTAAATACGACGTCTTCGAGCATGAGGCTCGCTAGTGAGTCTCGGCTGCTGCTGCCGCTGTTGGTATTGTCGTTGCTAGCTGTCATTTGGTCGTAAAGCGTTATCCTCCGGCGACCTTCCATTTTCCGGGAAAGTTCGCTCTCGACTTTCTGGGAAGGTTAACGGAGAAACCACAAAATAAAGTTTTCTCCGGGAATATTCTCGGGAAATGGAAGGTGGGTGGGTTAATTAACGGGGTGTTTGGGGGAATTATGGAAGGGAAATTAAGGAGTGAATAGTGTATGAGATGGAGAATTTATGATGGAAAATGTTCAAAGGGAAAGTTGGTGGAAGAAGGGGAGTTAGGTTGCTATACTTGCAAGTAGTTAATGGGATGAGGATAAGCAAGGAGTCAACGTTTTCGTTCGGAGAAACTTTCTTTTTGTGAGAGAACAAAAGGAAAAGAAGAAAAGGAAAAGAAAAACACAACGGGACAAGAAAAAAAAGCGATAGAAAATGGTGTATTACGTTTTAACTATTGAACCGGTTGGTGTTTATGATTCTGTGACTTGGTAAACTATACCGTTTATATCAAAATTAACTATTGATACAGTAAATATTAGAAAATTTTATGAGCATGGAAAGGGAAAAAGAAAGATTTATCGATGAGATGATTGATTTTCTGAGTGGGACCTCCAATTCATAGAGACACACAGAGCATAGATAATGACAAAAGAAAAGGGAGACACGGATGCCTAGGATACCTTAGGCCCCAGAACGGAATGAGAAAGGCATAGATAAAAACTTATGTTCTGGTTTTTAAATGTTAGTATATTTTTGTTATTATATTGTTATCGTGCTATATTATTTATTTATCAAGACATATTTCATTTGATCTTCAGAACTTATTTATATATTTTAAACTCAATGCACCAAAGATAAAACTCTTCTTTTCTTTCATCATAACACTTTCTTTTTTAATTACATTCCTTTTTTCATTTCTGCATTAAGCTAACTTTTGGATACAAACTAATTTTACTTTTACATTTTTTTGTAACATCGCTCTCATTCTCGTACGAAGAAAGTGTTTTAATTTGGTGTTTTAATTTATAAAAATATATATAGATTTGATGGTGTCCATTGCAAAGAAAAAGAAAAATAATACCAATAAAGTATAATAAAATGAATGTATGTAGTAACTTTTTGGTTAGGTGCAGTTTTTCTTCTTTTTCATTTCTTTCTCTCATAACCGTCCCCTGTTTATTGTGAGTTTTGTGTAGTGCACTAAATGAAACATTTTTTATATATTTATACTACATAAGCTGTAAAAAACATAAAGTATTATTTAAATAACAGTCACACTTAACTAAATAATGGGTATTATTTGGATTGAAGTCATTCTTGACTTAGAAACAAGTATTATTTGAAATACGCATTCTTAACTGAAACGGGTTATTATTTGAAATGTAATTACTTTTTACAAAGATAAAATATTCTTTGAAACATGGTCACTATTAATTATGAACGAGTATTATTTAAAACACAATTATTTTTTGATTAAAACTAAGTATTATTTAAAATGCAATATTCCTTAACTAAAATCGAATATTATTTGAAATGTCAATCTTAGATAAATTTAAACATTATTTAAAACTCAATAACTAAAATTAAGTCTTATTTGAAAATGAATCACTTATGACTAAAAGTAAATATTATTTAAAATACAATAACTTCTAATTAAACACAGTTTATAAAAAATGTGATATAAAAGATCATAGGTTCACTCACGTGGGATAGATGTACACAAAAGTTATCATTATTCTTGATTGTTAATGAGCATGGACAATATTCTTTCTTACAACTACAATGTTTAGAAGCTTATGATATCTCTTGTGCAAATTCTTGTAGCAAGACATTCGTGGTTATCAACCTTTCTTTTCAAAGAGATATTATATATATAAAGCTTGAGAAGAAAATATTCACTGCACATAATTTTTGTAGCAGATGTGAAGGTCATAAAAAAAGTCTTCTTCTCACGTATGCACACATTCAATATTGGAGAAACATTAAATGCAAGATCTGTATCTTTAAATATGATTCTTCTCTTGGAGCAACATCCCAAAATATGACAAGGCTAAACAAATCTTGGTCAAATATAGTTTTTTCTAAGCTAAACAAAAACGTATAATCGTATAAGACAGTTAGTTTTTCTAAAGTTGACTTCAAGTTATGTAAGATTACCTTAGTACATTTTACAAGAAATTTTTAATATAGACGTGTGGTATCAACAAAAAATATTAGTGAGTGTCAAAATATTTTTTTTAAGCATATAAACATTTTAAAGTACCAAATATTCATAATATATTAAAATTAAAGAAATTACTTTAATTTATACATATATTAAAAAAATTGGGGCAGCCAGACCCCTTTGGTTCTAAGAAAGATGATTCCCTGTTACTCTCAAGATCTTCTTGTCAAAATAAGAGAAAGACTTTCTCCACAAACACAAAATAAGTATGGAGAATATTTCATAAAGAAAGTTAACTTAATAATGGTGTTCATGTCTTTTAATTAACGCTTTTGTTTATATGATAAAGCAAATAAATCAGATACACTTCCATGATTTCTTATGTATATATATTAATTGAGGTGATAAATGCTGGATGAAGAAGACAGTTAATAGTTTGATGTGGTTTGACATGTATGCAAGGGCAGAAAAAAAATATGTTTTAAGCAAGCCAAATTGTCTTCTTACCCATTTTTTGTTTGTCTTTACTAAGAAAGATGAAAAGAGATGAACCCCACCTTTTTTGTTTCACTAAAATCTTCACATACGCATACATCCAAAATTAAGAAGGTATGAGAAGAAGCAAACATATATATATCATTAGTAACACATAAAGATAAGATAATTCATAGAATTTAAAATAAACATACCCTTAAATTGATATTTTATTTTTTAAATAATGGCAAACAGAGTCAGTTAAACTAAGCCTTATAAATAGTGATGATTGAGAAGAAAAATGAAGAGAAGTAGAAGAGTTGACATTTGGAGGAAGAAGGAAAGAGAGGGAGTTGAAATGATTGATGAGTGATGAGTGGTGGTGGGGTGTTCCCCATCATAAAAGGCTACCAGAAGATGTTAGGTGTATTGTCACCTTCTCTCTCTTTCTGTAGTGTTGCCTACTGAAGTGGGTGCTCAGTCTAGATACAAACATTGTATAAGCTTTCTATTTTCTCAGAGGTTTTCGATATTTCTTCCTTTTTTTTATGCTGCTTAAGCTTCTAATTATTTATATATTTATATATGAATTCAGAGAGAATTTAAACTTATTAGGGATTTGGGATGTTTTAATTTATCAAGATTTAGTAATTTAGGAATTGTGATTTTTTTATTAAATATATTTTTTTTGTTTTTAAATTATTATAAAAAAATGTGTTTTCTCTTTAAATTAAATTATAAAATATTTAGTCACTGTGAAAGTTATGTAAAATACTTTCTTTAATAAATGACGTGTTTACTACGGTCAGATCAAATTTTACAAAACTATACTACTCTTTGCTCGATAACTTTGATAAAGTGTAAAAAAGAAAAACTATAATTTAGTTTAGGAAACTTAATTTTTTATAACAATTTCAAAACGAAAAAAATACTTAATTTTTTTAATTTAAATTATTTCTTTTTTAGTTTGGAGATTGAAAATAGATGCATGCTAAATTTTAGAGCCTAAAAGTTATTTAAATCTTATTTCAAAATTTAGAATTTAATATATATATTTTTATCTCTATAGTAAATGGTATTTAATTACTTTTTATTTCTCTAAATTTAAAAATGATTGATTTGGATTATAAATACTGTGTGACACTAGTTAACGGTTAACGTGCAGAATGAATGAAATCAGTTTTTTAAGTGAATTCTTCATCTTAAAATAAATGAAGAAGGGATTTTAAGTTTTGAAGGGATAGAAAATGAGAGAGAAATACTTTGTGGTGATAAAAACAATTCACTCATTTTGTAATCAACGAAAATAGTTATTTCAAATTTAAGATGGATAAAAATAAAAACTTTTTTAACATAGGTTAAAACCAAAAGTTGTTTATTTGAAAGGAATTTAAATATATTTAAGCCTAAATTTTAATAGGATTTCGTAATAGTATATATAGTCAGCTGTTGGTATATATTTTATTTTAGAAATAAATCTAAAAATAATATTCCACTTTTCAATTTAAATGAATTTTAAACTGGTATAATAATTTTAAAAGTTTTATTGATATTCATAAATATTTGGAAGTATTAGTGACTCTTAAATTAAAAATTTAAATATTTGTTATTCTTGTTTTAATTAAACTAAAATTCTAAATATATGTGCATATTTTGTTTGACATCTATTTTAAGATGTTCAACAATTTTTTTTTATAATATTTTGAGTGTAGAATTAAAAAGTAAACCTTATAGACGATAATATAAGGTAAAACGGAATATCAGCAGGTAATTGAAGTGATGGCTTATTTTTGTTGATGGATATGAGAATTCTGTACCGATTTCTTAACGTCTTTTTGCATAGCTTTCCAATAAAATTGGTCTTTCATTCTTTTATACGTTAAATCATACCCAAAATGGCCCTGAAGAGGGGAATCATGAAACGACAAGCTTACCCTTTCGTTTTAACTCATCACCCTCCCATGTAAAATGTTTTAGTTAAGCATAATTCCAATATATCACTCCTAAAGTTTTAAATAATTGCATGCCTAAAATTACCCCAAAATGATTACTAGGCAAAACAAGAAAAATCAACTACAAACAAGTGATGATTATTGGTTGACATAATATACTCAAAGCACTCAAGACTGTGTGGATGGCCAGACGGATCTTAAGACTGGACGAACCTTACAGACCGGACGGACGAGGCATTTTGAAGATTAGACGGGCGGGCTAAGGGCACACAAATACTGCTCCATGCACTAGGTTGAAGACTAGGCGGTCGTTGCTCCAAGTAGACGGACGAGCTCAAGGCGGATTACATGTGAGGCCATGGACAACCGAGTAGTTGAGGCCGAATGGCCGGATGGTTGATGGTTGGACGACCGAGCAGTTGGGGCCGGATGGCCGAGAGCTAGAGGCCGGATGGCAGAGAGTTGAGGCCGGATGGCAGAATGTTGGATACCCAATTTGGCTAAGTACCTAAGGTCGACTGGCGGAGACTTAAGGCTGAACGGTTGAGACTTGAGGCCGACTAGCCGAGAGCCTGAGGCCGAATGGCCGAGAGTTTGAGGCCGACTGGCCGAGAGCTTGAGGCCGAATGGCCGAGAGCTTGAGGCTGGATAGCCGAGGCCGAACGGATGAGTGTGAACACTCGATGTCCTTTACAACACCACTCGCTGGTTCCTTGTGGCTACAATGGGTATACCCGTTCGACCCCACGATGAGCGCCAAAATGTTTCGGATATACGTCTTATACTCAAAGCACTCAAGATTGTGTGGATGGCTAGACGGACCATAAGACTGGGCGAACCTTACAGACCGGACGAACGAGGCATTTTTAAGATCGGACGGACGCTGCTCCATACGAAC